AATGAAGTCAACTCTCTGTTACAGATGGGGAGTGGCAGGCTCTGCCTTTGACCTGGGGAGAGATGGCTTAGACTCTGGGTAATAAGCAGGGCACCACCAGGCAATGACGTGCCACGAAGGAAACAGAGCAAGAAGGCCCAACAGTGAGGGTTGGGGTGACAGGTAGGGACTGGTATTACTTTGCATGGAAAAGGCCGATGAAGACATGACTTCAAAGCAGAGATATAAACATAGAGGAAGATCAAGCCATCTCAGGCTGGGCCAAAGAAATTTTTTTTGTCACCCAGGCTAGAGTGCAGTGGCATCATCATAGCTCACTGCAGCCTTGAACTCCCGGGCCGAAGCCATCCTGCTGCCTCAGCCTCCATGTAGCTGGGATTCGGATGCCCACCACCACACCCCGCTAATTTTTAAAGATTTTTTGTTGAGATGGGGTCTCACTGTGTAGCTCAGGCTGGTCTTGGACTCTTGGGCTCAAGTGATCCCGCCTTGGCCTCCCAGAATGCTGGGATTACAGGCGAGAGCCACTGCGCCTGGCTCATGGGCAGATTTTGAGCTAAAAAAAAAATATCGCAAACTTAAAAATGAGACCACAGCTGCCAAAGTAGGGGCTGTGGCATGAGGGAGGGGCCGGGTTTCTAGATTCACTGAAGCTCTCAAACCTGATGGGGAGGGGCCAAGCAGCAATCTCGAAATAGCAACCCCCAGATTTCTGTAAAGTGCCATCAGCCAGGCCAGACCCGCTGTCTGCGTGGTTTCTATATCTAGCAACCACGAAAATAACAGAATCCCTGTACACCATGCACACTTTTAGGTACGTTGTTTGCTAAGGGTTTTTGTTTTTTTTTTAGCTAAGTGTTGCAGCTATCCCTTCTCCAAGGATGACACGCTTGGAGATTCATGTGACAGGTGTAGTCTGCCTCGCTCTGTGGTTTGAGGGGCAGCTGGAGATTCACTGGCAGACCTGTCAGTTGCTGCCTATGCCACACTTGCCAAGCCACTTAGCCTTTCTGGACTTCAGCCGCATCTGGAAGGCGGCGGGGAGAACATCTGCTCTCTGCCTGCATCAGGGAGTTTCCAAGGAGATAAGAGGAAAGCTTTGAAAATTGCAAGTGCCTCAAAATATTAAGAGGTCAGTACTGTTTCTGGAAAAAAATGTTTAAGGCAAGTATTTGTTGATTGAATGACACTGTTCAAACTTCCTTAGTTGACTTCTGGAG